AGCTTTGAGGAGATAATAGAGAAATGTGATGATATTCATGTTTATTTTAACACTTGTTTACTGAATTAATCCACCTTTTAGGATCACATGTCATACCAAACTGTCCTCACAGCTTTTCCTTATTAAAGCATCTGCATATTCTTTTATCTTACGTATGTTGGAAACTCTTTGTGGGTTTCTCCAGCTAGTCCCAGGCACCAGGCACCAGTCACAGATGGACAGTTACAGCCGCCTTCCTGCCTCATGGGTCTTTTGTCTTTCAGCTAGCCTTGACCTGGATAGACACCTGCTTCTGGCAGCCCTTTAGACAACTGAGGTTGTGATCTAACTCATCAGAAGGGTAACATGGTGGGGAAAGATGAGATGGAGGGTGCCCTCAAATGCAGGGCTTTCCTTTGTCAAGGAAGACACGTGGGCCTCTGAAGCAGGGTGTCAAAGCAACCATCCCAGCAACTGGTATTCAGGGATATTTGTGTCTCTTAACACTAAGGCTACAATTAGTCATTGTGACACATGGCTACTGAAAAACTGAAATGAATTCAATAGACCTGACCTCCCCTGGTCGGGACGATAAGATCCAAACATGAGATCCTGGAAGCTCCAGAGGATGGGTCCCTGAGGTCTGGCCTTCAGAAACAGAAGAGATAAAATTCAGCTGATGTATATTTCAGGGTTGGAGAAGGCCACAAAATGTGCAAAGCAACAGTGTCTTCTTTTGCTATTGTGTTTCTTCAGGAACATCATTCCTATTGTTCAGGATATTTCATACAATTAATACAATACAATACAAGGTGCTGTTAAAAAATTATGCGGAAAAGGAAGCAGAACCCTCTGCTTCATAATCTAAAAACATACCTTTCCGAAGAAGTCATTATCCAAAGGAGAAAAATATTGTTTAAAATGAAGTTGTGGTAAACTTAAGGAAATTAATAACTTTGGTGCATCTTCATATGGGGGGTATGTCATGATAAGCAAGGAAATAATCTGGATGTTAGAAATCTGGGTATCTAAGCAGAGGTAGAAGAATATGTCGATAAAGAACAGGCAATAGGTAAGCTGATCATAGGCTAAAATACACTCTCGCCAGATAGTGGGAACCTCACAAAGAAACCTGAACTGGGACTTTCTATTGGGACCAGGATATCACCCATAGAGTTAACAGACAGAAGTGAAACTTTGAGTAAAGGAAATATATACAGTGTTGGATTCAGGGGAACATATCTAGGGACTTTGACCGAAACAAGCTTTGACCCAGAAAGACCAAGCCTGAAAGAAGTAACTAGGAAAAAAGGAAATGAAGTAGTTAGCTTAGGAAAACAAGCTGAGGAAATAAACAGGAATCGGTGATTTAAAGTGAAAGGTTAGTCGAGAGTAAAGGAAAAAGGAGGCAATCCAGAGGGAGACTTCTCATGAATCACTCATAAGACAAAATGAGAGAAGGAAAGGATGATGCTGTCAAATTTGGAGAGCCAAGGAAGGAAATTCAGGCACAAAAGAGATTCAAGGGAGCTAGATAAGTGGTCAAGTTTCCACTGTGAGGAGAATCAACTCAATGGGCAGGACTTGAGACATCAACAGATTGTATATGTCAAGATGGGCCACAATGGAAGCCCTGCCCCCTTTAATATGCACCACTAGGCATGTCAGGGACAGGTAAGTCCAAGAGATTAGCTTGATGTATGATTGCTGGATCATGATTGGAAGAAGCAATGAGCTGACAATCCAGATTTGGATCAGGGTCAGGAGGGAGGGAGGGGAGAAACAAGAGCAATCAATTAGGGCCAAAAGGAAGGTACCGGAAACAAGATGTTTGCAAGTCAACTAAATTTTTTGACATTTTAAACCTAATGGGTTTTGAAAAGCACCCTCCCTGATTGTTGGGTGACAAAGAGTGAGAGAGACAGAAGGACTCCATTTTCTTAGCATGTGTCTCAGGACTGATTTTTTTTTCATAGCTTCTGCTCTGTAAGATAATTCCCATATTTATATAAATCATGTAGGTCTGTGAGACTGTAAGAGCTCTGTTTTAGTACTTGCCTTAAGCAGCCATCTTTCATTCTGAAAGCAAGAAACTAAAGGGTGTTATTTATTCATAATCAGAGTGTCTTGAATCTTATAGGATCTAGGCAGCTGCCCTTTACTTCTCCTCCTGCTGGGGATAGGAAAGACTAGGGACCCTCAGCTGTAGAACTTTCTTCTGGGGTACACTTTCTCAAACTCAGAGTTAGCCTCAGTAGAAACAACAGGGCTCCCCCAAAATCTATGTTATATAAAGGGCAGAAGACACACAGAGAAGCAATTCTTCACTCAGTTAAAACATATTCTTCTTGTACAACAGTTGTTTTAAGTTACAAATAAATAGAAAAGTATCACTCAATAGAAGATTAATAATTGCATTATCAGTTAGAGAGTCAGGTAAAGGGTCTATGGCCGTGATGATGAACCTATGGCACATGTGCCACAGGTGGCACACAGAACCATTTGTGCCAGCACGCGAGCCGCATGCAAACTTACCTCACTGCACATGCGCGCACCTCACAGCTGATTTTCGGCTGGTTTGAGGCCTTTTTTGGCCTCCCAGAGGCTTGAAAAAAGCCTTTGCAGGCTTTGCAGGATGAATAATAGGCCCGTTTTGTCACTTCCTATAATACCAGACGATCAGACACACAAAATAATATTCAGAGAACAAGCTCTTTGGACCATTCTTTTCCAACCTCCAGCTATGTGGGAATGTGTCTTCTGTTTTCTCCAGACTTTTAAATAAACCAGTCACTGGATTGATGGGAGAATTGTCTTTATCCCCCTAAAGCATCATTTCTCAACCATGACATGGTACATGTGTCCACTCCTTTTCAACATCTATATGAAACTGCTGGGTGAGATCATCCATCATCATGGATTGAAGTACGCACAGTATACTGATGACACCCAACTCTATATTTTCTATTCTTGGTGGTGACCCAGGTGATGCTGTGGCTGCCCTCTCATGGCAACTGGAGGTTTGGGGGACTGGATGGGGGACAACAGGCTAGAACTGAACCCTGGCAAGACCAAATGGCTTTGGGTACACGGGGTTCCAGGATCTGGGAATCTCATCTTTGACTCTGGATGAGATGACACAGCCCCAGAAAGAGCCAGTCCACAACTTAGGGGTTCTCCTGGACTCGTGACGCCTGTTCAAGGAGCAGGTGGCAGTCGTGGCTAGGAGAGCCTTTGCACAACTTCATGTTATGGCCTTTCTTGGATCAGGATTGTTATGGCCTTTCTTGGATCAGGATTCCCTGCATTCCATCACTCAGTCCCTAGTCATCTCACAGTTGGACTATTATAACATATTCTACATGGGGCTGAATGTATTTATTAATGCTAAGCTTAAATGGACTCCGGCGGATGGTAGAGGACAGGAAGGCCTGGAGGAACATTGTCCATGAGGTCGCGATGACTTTGGCTCGAACACGACTTTGCCACTAACAACAACAACAGCAACAACATGGGGCTACCTTAGAAGAGCATTCAGAAGCTACAGCTAGTGCAGAGTGTAGCAGTGGGGGCAGTTTTGGGGGCCCCAACAATGGCCCCTGTAATACAACTGCTCCGTGAGCTGCATTGGTTTCTGGTCTACTTTCAGGTGCAATTCAAGGTGTTGGTGATCACCTTTAAAGCCCTTTATAGCATTGGTCCAGATTACTTGAGGGACCCGTCTCACCCCACTGGAATTGGCCTTGCTCCCTTGTGCCAACCCTCCTATCCTTTTGTAAGGGCCTAAAGACATGGCTCTGCCAGTTGGCTTGGGGCCCCATGGGGGAACAGCACACTGGAGGTAGTTGATTGAGTAACAACAGATCCCATCTCCCCACCCCACTCCTCACTCGCCCTCCCCACCTGTCCTTAGATTTTAAGGTTTAACTTTTATTTATTTCTGTTTTGATTTATATGATTAGATTAGATTTTTATGACTGTGAACCATCCAGAGTTACCTTATAGTAAGATGGGCAGCCAATAAATTTCATAAATAAATAAAACTGGCTATGGAATTATGGGAGTTGAGGTCCACACATTTTCAAGCTGCCAAGATTGGGGGAAAACTGTCCTAAGCTAAAAACCAACTTTCCTATAGTTTGTAACAGGGCTGCAAATATCTCTTCCATACAAATCCAGTCAGCAACAAACACAGCAGTGGGAGGGTGTCTCATTTGTAAGCGTTTTCCAGAGGCCTAACAACTACCTGCAAGCAGTCCCTGGAACAACAGGCTTCTGCATAAGCCTGGATGTTGGTTTTACCTGCTGAAGAAACTGACTTTCCCTTCAATTTGAGACAAATTTTAATGGAGACTGCAATATCTTGGGACTAGGAATCCAAATCACCCTCACCCTCCTTTGAAATCCACAGTGGCTGCAGGACTGCTTTTTCAGCCCAGAACTCTTCCCAGAGTACAATTTCATACAATGATCAACATTCATAATAGCCAAATATCTTGGGGCCATATCTATGACGCTACAATACCAACAGATCAAGATTGATTCTGGTCTAAATTACCATTTAGTGTTAGTCTGAAAGAAGACCAAACATAATAAATTCTGGAAGGCTTCCCAGAAGGAAAAGCAGATGTACCCTGAATTGTCACCACAAGCGTTTTTTACACACGTAAATAGTCTTTGATGGCTTTAGTGTCTTGCAATACCCAGTGTGCCCACAGGATGTCTCCCTATCTTGCACAAAATATACACATGGGTCCTTTTTAATAGCTGATAAAGATAGTGCTCAGAATTATGCAGGAAGTGTTCTTACTTCAGTACAAAAAACTTTACGTCTTTTTTTTTTTTAAAAAAAACCTATTTATTATACATATATAATAGTCCTAGGAGACTCTGCTGAGAGTTATAGCTGCTTCCAGCAACCTTTACCAATATTTGCTTTACAAAAATATCAGATAAACAGGCTCCCATCATGCTTCCAGCAGAATAGAAGCCTTTGTCCAACACATTAGGATGGTGCTGGATTGGGGGCAGAACAATATACAATATCTATACTTTATAATAAAAAGGAGTCCGGTGTAAACAAAACTGGTGCAATCGCGCAGGTCATTGAAAGGAGGGAAGAACCGGAAAAAGAATCTGGGATAAAGACTTGAGTGTCGGGTCCAATGTCATCTGCTCCTTCAGGAATAAAGGGCTTTCCTTCTTGCCCAGTGGCCTTTTGTATCCAGTCAAGGTAGCTGAAGACTGCAGTGTAGACCGTGAGGCTTGCCTCTGGGTCACAGTTACCTCCCCAGCTTGCTATGCCAACCACAAACCATTTCATGTTGCTTCCAGAATCTCAGAACCGGGGACTCCCACTCTCCATCTGGTGAAATAAAAGTATAGCTGAACAAGCCCAAATTCCTAAGCAAAAGGCTTTGAAGGGTTCAAAACAATATGTTAATCATGGACAATCAAATGTGTCTTTGTCATAGTGATTTTTGCTCCAACAGGCAAAGATCAGCTTTCTTCTCCTTTTTTATACAAATCTGTCAAAATTGTAATAAATCTTTACCCAAACGAAATGTACATTCTCCCCTTACATATTCTAGCCCCCATGTTAATTTCCATGTCTTATTTCTCCTGGCTTGGATTTTGGATTGTAAACATCAAAAGGGATAGTCCTGCATTTTCTAAAATGTATCAATAGGATAGGTAAAGGTTCCCCTCGCGCATACGTGCTAGTGGTTCCCAACTCTAGGGGGCAGTGCTCATCTCTGTTACAAAGCCGAAGAGCCGGCACTGTCTGAAGGCGTCTCCATGGTCATGTGGCCAGCATGACTAAACGCCGAAGGCACACAGAATGCTGTTACCTTCCCACCAAAGTGGTCCTTATTTTTCTACTTGCATTTTTGCATGCTTTCAAACTGCTAGATTGGCAAATGTTGGGACAAGTAATAGGAGCTCATTCTGTTACGCGGTGCTAGGGATTCAAACTGCCGAACTGCTGGCCTTTCTGATCGACAAGCTCAGCGTCTTGGCCACTGAGCCACCGCGTCCCTTCGATAGGATGGTACTACATATATAATAAAATTTTGAAACAGTTTAATCCTCCAACCACTGCTCTCCCATTGCCTTCAAAATTTTCTACTTAACACCCCGCCCCCCAAAAAATCTTCTGAAACTTCTGAATTCTTCCTCTCCCACACAAAATACACAAGATCTGTCTGTTGTAGCAAAAACCTTTCTCTCATTTTTGTTACTTAAAGAGATAACAAACAAATCAAAGGATCAGAACAATATCAAAGAAGAAAGAAGGGATAGGAAAAGCAGAAGGAACACAAGCAAAGAAAATAATGATGTGCCTTTTCTCCTTTTCTGAATATCTGGTCTCCAATATTGTGGGCTTGAATTTAATATATCCCTATGCACTAAGGAACAGTTTTAGCATACTTTCCTAAAATATCTTCTCTAGGTGTTTGAAAGTTGAATAACAAAAAAGGGGCAAGAGTCTGTTGTGCAAGAGATATTGGGGTCTTCTAGTACTGTAGCTCAAGATAAGTGTGCCTCACAGTTCTCCTCCATGTTTTCCTTAGAAACAGCACAGAAGACATTCCCGATTAACCCTTGGATTTCCTTGGAACATACATCTCGGTCAATTAGAGCCACCTTCATTAATATGTGGGTTAATTTCTCAACATCATCTGCAGGCAAAAGGAAAGGGTGAAGGCCAATTAACAGTTTAGAATCAACCAATAATGGATAGGAATAAGAACGTTTCACAGGACAGAATACATTATGAAATGTAACTGTCCTGTCACCATAAACAAGGAGCAGCCCTGCCAATTTCATGGAATTAGGTCAGAGATGCCAGCTTTGCTCTCATGTGATAGAAAGGGATTCTGGTCTCGTATATTAATGAAGGAAGGGAAGAAAGAATTAGGAAGGGGTGCACAGTTTTGAAGTGGGTGGGCAGCATTTTGTTGCCCGAATCCCTTTTTCTGTGGTCCTTGCAGATCCACAAGGCTGTGTGGCTGAAATCACGGAGACTTTCCAATATTTTCTAGGGCAGTGTTTCTCAACTTTAAGATACATGGACCAACTCCCAGAATTCCCCAGCCAGATTGCTAGTTGCTAGCTTTCTAGCTGGGGAATTCTGGGAGTTGAGTCCACACATCAAAGTTGCCAAGGTTGACAAATGTTGTTCTAGAAAAAAAAAGTAATGAGTTAGATTAGATTAACTCTTCTGTAATGAGTTAGATTAGATAAAATCATCTGTAGAAATCCTTGAAAACTCCTTAAAATTAAGCTCACTCTTGGGCCAGTTAAAAGTATAAGTATATACCGTGTTTCTCATATAATAAGGCTGGGTCTTTTTTTTTTTTTTTTTGGAGCCCCGAAAAAATGGCTAGGCCGTCTTTTCGGGGGTGACTTAATTCCACCCCCGTGCATCCTCGGGCGGGTGGGCGGCGACAGCTTGGATGTTGACCTGGGTGTTGGTGGGGCACTTCGTATCGGGAGACCTTCCGCCACTGTTGCTTTCCCTTCTCCCCATGCTGCTGCAGTGTTTGGAGCAACGCAGCAGCATTTGGCGCAGCCACACGCGGCCAGCCAGGGCTCCTCCCTGCAACCAGAGCCCAGCGGAGACACTTGGCTTCAGGCATTCCTCTCGCCACCTTCCCGGACATCATTCGAAGGCAAAGCCAATTCTTTTAAAAATGACGCCCTACTACCAGTACGACAAAGCCTCCCCTGCCTGAGAGGGAAGCCCAACCCCACGTGGGGAGGCGAATCTCCCGAGGCCACAGCGCAGGATTGGCCCACCCCAGGAGAAGTGCCCAGCCACCATCCCTGCCTGGCACTGGGCAGAGCATGAAGAGCTTCGCCTGGGATGCCCAGCGCAGCTGACAGGCAGGCCCTCCTGCCCGGCGGCAGAACTCTGGCCAAGGCAGCTAGTGCCTCCCCGCCGGGCCCTCCGCTTATTGCCAGAGCCGGGCGGGCTGGGCAGAGCTGGGAAAGCGAGCTGCGGGTGCGCGCCCGCCTGCCAAGCGAAAGAGCCGGGCTGACCCAAGCTTGGCTTCCCAAGTCCCTCCAGCCTGACCCCAAAGGGGCCACCGGGAGAGGCTGCCTGAGGCAGTGATAGTGGCCACCCATCCATGGACAGGGAGGCAAGGCGATGGCCCGCGCTGCGTCCTTCTGCGAGCTGAGCCCCGCCGAGTGAGCGCCTCTGCCCGATGCCCGTGCCGCTGCAGCGTTTGGAGCTGCCGGTGCATTTTGAAATGCATGAGGACGGGGACAGGCTGGGCGCGGGGTGGAAAGGATGGGCGGCTTCGGGCTCACTCCACCGGACCCGCCGGCCAGGGAAGCAGCGCTGCTGTTGCCTCGCCTCCCTGTCCCTGGATCGGTGGGCACTATCACTCTCAGGCAGGGGAGGCTTTGTCGTACTGGTAGTAGGGCATCGTTTTTAAAAGAATGGGCTTTGCCTTCAAACAATGCCCAGGAAGGCGGCGACAGGAGCGCCTGAAGCCGAGTGTCTCCGCCGGGCTCCGGTTGCAGGGAAGAGCCCTGGCTGGCCATGCGTGGCTGCGCCAAATGCTGTGGCATTGTTCCAAATGCCACGGCAGCATGGGGAGAAGGGAAAGCAACGGTGGCGGAAGGTCTCCCGAGACGAAGTGCCCCACCAACTCCAAGGTCAACGCAGGCAGCACCATATCCGGGTGTGCAACAAAAGTACTTCCTAATGGCAAGCCCCCCGCCATTCCCCCCCATTTCGCATGTTTTAATGTAGGCCTTAATTTGGGGGGAGAGGCTTAATTTCATTTCATGCCTATAAAATATGCTGGGACTTCCTATTGGGGGAGGCCGTATTGTTGGAAAAACACAGTATACATGTATATAACTGTATCTTATGCCAGTTTTCAAAGTAGAGTTAAGGAATAGATTTTTCTTTCATCTTCAAACTGATGCCCCACAATCAGTGAAGAACCAAAACTGAAAAATGAACAGCTTTTTCAGTAAGATAACAATCCAAAACACACCTCCAAATTAATTATGAAATACTTACCGGAACAAAGATTTTGAAAAGGCCTCCACAACCCCAGATTAGAGACTTTATAAAAACTCCCATACAACATTTCTAAAATGAAAGAGTTTGGTGCAGAAGGATGGGAAACGTTCCAAAACTAAGCAAGGAAGATTTTTAGCTGGCTCCAGGAAAACCTATTTTTACCAAAGGAAGGGTCCAGGCTACACCTGCCACATACACAGTTTCCTTATTCTGAATCTGTAAACAACTGCCAATAAATCTATATCTATATCTATATCTATCTATACACACACACACACACACACACACACACACATATATATATATTTTCGTAGATTTTCATGGGTACAGGTATGCAGGTCTTGGCGTGTTTGGGTCTTTTCCCATGTATCTTGGCAACATTTTGCCATCTTCAAGGTGGTGCTTTTGGCTTCATGCTTGTGCGAGCAAAGCGTGATCGGAGCTGCCATCTCCCTATATATACTGGTGGGGAGATTGGCTGTGTTGTCATTTTTTGATTGGTTGATGGAGTTGATGTTTGCAGATTGGCTGGCTTTTTCGTAAGAACATGTGTGGCTGAGTTATTGGCTGTGTGTCTATCAGCCTCCTGTGTTGTAATGACCTGGGTAATGGGCTGTGTATGACATTCTGAGTTCTATTGTTTTGACATCCTGGGTCTTGTGTTGTAATCTCCTGGGTCATTGGCTGTGTTGCAACATCCTGAGGTTTTGGGGTGTAACCTCCTGAGTTCCATGATGTGATATCCTGAGCAGGTGGCTGTGATGTGACGTTCCGGGTTTTGGTTTGGCTCCGAGTTTGAGGCCTGGATATGTGTTGGTTTGGGGGTCAGGGGGTGTGGCAGCTGGTGATGCAGCCATGGTTTAGTTTCTGGACGGTGGTTGTCTTTCACCTATGGGATGGGTTTGGGTTTGAGTCTGGTGAGGAGAATGGTGGTGGTGTCATGTATTGTTTTGGGTCCGGTGTTGGTTTTCGTGGCTGGGACTCATTTGTTGATAAGGGCTAGTTTCCAGATGTCTGGTAGGCGGGAGGCATTGTCCCATTTATTCATGTTATGGAAGTGTTTGAATAAACGGGACGATGCCTCCCACCTACCAGACATCTGGAAACTAGCCCTTATCAACAAACGAGTCACAGCCACGAAAACCAACACCGGACCCAAAACAACACATGACACCACCACCATTCTTCCTCATTACGACCCAGGAGATTACAGCACAAGACCCTGGATGTCAAAACAATATAACTCAGAAGGTCAACACACAGCCTGTTACCCAAGTCGTTACAACACAGGAGGTTGATAGACACACAGCCAATACCTCAGCCACACATGTTCTTACGAAAAAGCCAGCCAATCTGCAAACATCAACTCCATCAACCAATCAAGAAATGACAACACAGCCAACCTCCCCACCAGTATATATAGGGAGACGGCAGCTCCGATCACGCTTTGCTCGCACATAGAAATCATAAAAACATACAATTTGACAAGGGTGCCTAATCATTTGTAACTAACTGTACATGTATATATGCATACCCTTATGTGGTGTATTTACACACACACACACACACACACACACCATTCTCAGCTACAAAAATACCCTGCCCTAATTAATAGCTCATTGAGAGATCCATGTCAGGGAACTCTTCACTTTAATCTTGTCTGCAACCTAAATTGGGAAAAGAAGGGAAGTTGGCTGCTACTTTACTCCTTCCCCTTTCCCTGGAACCAGAGATCCCACCAATGTCTTTTGTTAACCCTCACAGTAGGAATAACCAATATTTAAAGGAAGGTGGAGGGGGGGGAGATTTGTAAGATTCTATTTCTAGATTGAATTCATGCAGGGAAGGGCCACTGCCCATGAAAACATTCCATTTCCACTGCTGGTTTTTGTTTATGAAGTTGCTAATTTACCTTTCCTGCTACTATGGACTGTATTTTTGTAAAAACTCTTTTTACCCCTTTCTTCCTCTCTAAATGAGAAGTGTTTGCTTCTTCATAATCCCTTATTTTGAAGGGGGGGGGGGGTGAGAGATGGCCATTAAGAATGAATTCAGTGACCTTTATGTAAATATCACCTTAGCCTGGAGGTGGGAAGGAAGTGGAGAAGATAGGTGGGTGGGTGAGGAAAGCAACTCAGAATTTTCCCATCTCAATTCTCTTTAGTGTAAGAGGGATAATCTGTACCCAGCTTTCCAAAGTCTGTCACTCTACCCTATAATAATAAAGTAGAGTGCCAGCACTTGATGTGAGTTTCCTAACCTGGTCTACTCCAAAAAGTTGACTCAAGGCTAACTAACTTGTTTTCAAGCTAAATTAAAGTAAGAAGTAGGATGCAGTTCTTCTTGCCCTTCCTTTGGTTTCAAATTTCATGGTTTTGGCCAGAAAAAATGGAAGGCAGAGTTAGAAAATTTCTCTTATTGAAAAGGACAAAAAAAGAAAGGAAAACTTTTTTTCCAAAGCACAGTGCAGTGGGAGAAGTGAAGTCTTCACTAGCAAAAGCTTTAAAATATCACCATTTCTAAAATTCCTCCCTAAATTGAGATTGTAGACAAATTTAGGGGAAGGCCATTTGGCTCAGGCTTGGATTAGAAAATGCAGTACCAGCCATTAGAGTCTTCCATGTGGCAACCCAGCAGTCTTGGCATACGCTGAGGTCCTGCAACAAAGGGAAGCAAATTGGTGTCGTTTTTTCACTGAAGCTGATGGGAGAATCCAATAAGATCAAAGCAATGTTGTTTCTCAAGCTGGTACTGTTGAAGTCTTCATGGATGATCACCACGTCCAACTTCTTTTTCTCTGAAGGCTTCCCATGCAAGGGGGCGTGCATAAGCGCACCAACGTGCCTACCGTCCCTGTCCTATTGTTTCTCTTATTCTTTTATTTTTCTTATATGTACCCATTTCATGTATTCACAACTATGTATACACTTATACTTATTATCTTGTAAACAATTGGCAAATCAAATAAATAAATAAATAAATAAATAAATAAAGATGAGCTCTATGGGATGATCTAAAGAACTTGGGAACAAAGAGGGAGGCAACACATTACTGAAATGTATTCAGACCCTAAGAGCTGGCCTGACGAATCAAAAAGATAAGACATACTGTTCAGTTGGGACAATGGTATATTTAGTGCAAAAATATTATAAAGGATGAGTATATCTGTTTTTTTTATTACCATGTGGATGTTCCTGTTCAAAGCTCTATTCCTACCTAATTCACTTTGCTAGTTCTCCTCTGCAGTCCATTGGCATCCACATCTATTTAGCCTGCTTTAGTTCTTACTCAATTGTTACAAGTCTGTGTAATCACTCCTTATTTTCCTGAATATGTTTGCACTTCCCTCAGACGTATTGACATCTTTCTTACATCTTCTCTGCAATACTCACAGGTCCTCCGTGAAGCAGTGAGCTGCAGACAGGATCCACCAACTGCTCAGAATTGCTCCTCTGCAGATAATCTTGTCTTTGGTTCGAATGCTGACCTGCCAGGGTAGGATTTCAGATGTCCTTGATGAGGTTCCTTCTTTGATTCTTGGTACTGTCCAGGAAGTGGCTCTGAATTTGGAACTCAGGCCACATGAAGAAATCGGAACTTCTTAATTCTGTTTTAAAAAAGTGGAATTCATTCCTCTAAATTTATGCCTATTTTCCAAGTATGAGAAAGGTAAGTGTAAACTCATTGGAACTGTTTGTCTTAGCCAATCCTCTGTGATAATACAGTATAAATGACATGGACAGCTACAAAATTATGTTTTTCTTCTGGGATATATGGAATAAACACATTAAAAAAGGATTCCACCTACTTGTATAAGAGACAGTCACTGAGACCAGAAACAGAAGTACAAGCAGCTGCATCTTGCCCTCTTTTTAAAGGGGACCTCCACATTTAAATGGAATGCTGAACAAAGAACTTCCTACAAATATCACCATGTAGCTCAGAAGAAATGTATTTGCCTAGAAGAGGCATGACCCACACTTCCTCTGCCCCATATGACCTCATGCACTACCTAAATCACCTGTGATGATATCATAATGGAATCCAGGGGTTTGCCTGGCATTTGCAAGCCCAGCAACAGGGAGGTGAATGTGCATCCAGGTTTCTGGTTTTCAAATTTCAAAGGCACCCGGTGTTTTTTTTAATGGTGAAAGGATAAAATGTTGCAGGTACCTAAGAAAAGACTGATGCAAGTTTGAGACTGAGGGGTATATTTGATCTTTAACATGAGTTCTATGGGTTACATTCCAAAAAGTAGAGGCTTTAGGACAGGGGTGTCAAACTTGCGTTGTCACGGCATCGTCACGTGATATATAGCAAATTTTTTTTCCCCCTTCACTAAACCAGCGTGGCCGTGGCCAGCGCATGACGCATCCAGCCCACGGCCTGCAGGCTTGACAGCCCTTCTCTAGGAGAAACAACTGGGAAGATTCAAGAAAAAATAATTTTTATTTCACTTAAATTAGGTCATATGATTATAATTTGGCAGCAATGTTTGGAGGGTTTCTATATAAAACTTTTCAAAAAAATTAAAAAATAATAGAATTTAGGATTAACAGAAGCCTTTGATTTAGCTAAAAAGATTATGAGTTCAAATTATATCAAATGAGTCCCAAATGTTTTAAATTACATCATGGAAATATTATTAAAGCAATATATACTTGGTCAATCCATGCAATTAGCTAAACAGCAGGGATAATTGACTGTCCCCAACCTGGATTGGACAAACTGGGTAGGAAAATAGGAAAACTAATCACTGTGCATCATGCTATTCACCAAAGAAGTGACATTCACACATTATACATATCCAGAAATAGTGCTAGTAAAAGGATGTTGCACAGAGTCAAAATATGACTCTGGTTGAAATCTGGAATATATTAAAAAAGAAACTGCAGGAACAATCATATCAGTTCAAGAACAAATCCTGCAAAGAAATGCCCACAAAGCCAAAAAGGCCAGTGATATAAAATAAACTAGGAAATAATCTCATTAGTGGTTGTAATAAAGCCATTGAACAGAATGACAATATTACAGTTCCATGATACACATTAAAATTATCCCCTGGGATTTATGTAGGAAAATTGGCTTTACTGTTTGTAAGAATCACTGGGAACTTGTGTCTAAAAAAGTTTAGCAAAATAAAAAATAAAAACATGAGATTTCAAAACTGATTGGACTTTAAAACATAATATACTATACATTTCTGTCATAGAAAAGCATGCTAAAAGTGAAAGAGACCCATTTTAAATCATTCCTGATATTTAAATTTACATACCAGGCATTTGCAATTCCTGCTGTAATCTTAAATTTCTGAACACTATAGTCTGTTTACCAACAGATTATCACATATTGATCATTATCCACATAATACTTTGCATGCAAGTCATAGGGATCTTTGAGATATTTCCCCAGTCTTGTTTGAGAGGCAATTTATCCTCCTTTCACTCAAAAGCATAGCTCTCTCAATGATATTGCAGATATGCAACAGTGGCATATAATTAAGATGATTTTGTTGCCATCATCACCTCCAAATATGATGTCTCATTTGTCCTCAATGAAACTCAAGCTTTTTCCACTGTTGATCTAGTTGTATTTTTACTTGCTTCACTACTCCCAGCTCCCTAATTAACTGGGGTGTGTGTGCATGCTTATGAGCTCTGCAATGAAGAATAAATGCTGAAGTGTTATGTAAAAATTGCTTGGCTCCTTTCCAGGTTCCATTAATTAAGCAAGTGTTGGCAGAATTGACAGCCATCTATCCGCACCAATCTCCAAGGGCAAACCAAATTCCTGGAGCTATCAATGGCTACTAGAGATATTTTTCTCAGTACTCTAAAACTGCTCTCATATCCTGCTGGCAGTCTTCCCAATGATATCTGGTTGGCTAATATGGGAAGAATAATTTTGGATTAAAGAAGACTTTGATTTAATCCCACATGCACTTTATGTTCTTATTAACCTGCTCTACTGATTCTTAGATAATACAGTTCTAGAGGATTGTTTTACTTCTCATATATTTCATAGAGAGAGAGATTTGGCTATGCCTACTTAGCTCAAGAAAAAGAACTTCTAAATAAATACACCAGAATGCCCTTTGACAGTGTTGAGAATCCCAGCTAGCACCAGAGTGATGTCAAAGAAGAAAGCATGAAAGAAATCTACAACACTACTAGAAAGGATGCCATTTTCAGGAAAGCAACTGGGACACCCAAAGGAAAATTCTGAGTGAGAAAGACTGAGTTCTATAACTCTCATTGAAAGCAGATATATTGTGGTTTATATATTACAGCCGGGTATATTCCGGCTACAAAACATATTGTATTCATAAATGGTAATAATGAGGAAAGCTCACAATAGGGAAAGAAAGCCTGAGTTTGTATGTTTTTTAAAAAGAAAATAGCAATTATAGGGGAAATACAGATTGGAAGCACTTGATATGAAGGAAAAAGTTTGACCTTCTCTACACAAGCTGTTTTCTGAATGAATCATTTTCTCTGAACTGTAAATTATTGCTATTTGCCACAGTTGAACTAACAAGCAAGCCATCCATCTCTTTGACAAACATGAAGCAAAATGGCATGAAATGGATACTGACATTTGGTCATTCTCTTGCATCTCTTCCTTAATTATTCAGACACTAATGAAGTTGTACACACACACAGACACAAAACTTTTGCCAATATGTTACCCCTTTGAAGAGAAGGTATCTAAAGCTAGGCCAAAATATACACTTGCAGTTGCTCTTTATTTAGAGGAAGAATGCCAACTTTATTGCCAACTAGCAAAAAAAAGTGAATAGGCTCCATTTTTACACACACTTTCTTAAGTCCAATTATTAAAGATGGAATGTCTACAAAATAATCTCACCTCAGAAGGACTCAACTTTATCTTGCTAGTTCAGTGAACTGATTAAAGTAACAGGTTGATCACAATGTGTTCAGTTAACTTTTTTAAATGCCTGTTTTGTGAAAATGTCCTCCATGGCCACCAAGCCATTTTGTGGGGTGATGGCCTATGTTCTTGAAAAGTGCATAAATCATGCATTCATTGGTATAAGTTAAATAAAGTTACCACCAGAAAAATCAATGAAAAATTGAATTGTAAGTCCAGTCTGGATATGGCATGAGTTTTACGGGTAGGATAAGCAATTATGACTAAAATAATTAACAAGCACAAAATAATAGCTTATTTCACAAAAAGTGTTTTGAGTTACCCCAATATCACTTCTATTTGCCTGTTCCACATTATGGAAATAGTTAAACTGATCAGGAAACCATTATTGATAATTTGTTTCCTGTTACAATTCAAATAGACTTCCTGGATTGCCATGAATCAGAAGCCAAGAATAAAACTTGGTTCAAAATTCCATCTTATTAAGAAGATACTCTATTAGTGGTGAGAATGGTACTGAGGAGCTGTAGGTATGTGCTAGTGGAAGGATGGCCATTTCTTCACTGATAAGGAAACAATCCTTGACCACTGGTGTCATTTTTTTTCCTTCTTTGATAAATGAAAATCAGGAAAACAAATCATAGACAGAGTACAGACAAATTCTTGGGGGATCTGAAATAGCTACAATTATAATCACCTCTATAAACATTCTAGGACCTGAGCACAGGATGGATGGATGGCTTTCAATTGCTAACAAATACTCTGCTATTCAAACCTCAGGAACTATCAAGTGGGATGAGTAAATATGAATATGTAGGCAGGCGTCCTGTAAGTTCTAGTGAGGCATCAGTATCACTGTTATATGAAGGCATTCTATGATGGCTCTCAGAGTCTCCTTCAGAATTGGCAATGCTTTGTGTCACAGTTCACTTGCTCCAGTCAGGATAATGTACCATCTCTTGTTTTCTTGGTTCAATGAAAATTATAGAATATGAGTAAAAGAATCTCTTGTCCAGAAGTACCTACTCAATCATTTGCTTAGATAAGGTAATTAATTGATGGTTTTCAGGAAAATGTGGTTAATTTTTGTCACCTTGGGTATCCAAAGGAATGATGAAATCTTTGATGTGACCACACAATACCATCTTTAGTACCTATGAATCTGGTGTTATATAAGTGGGCAAAGATCAAACCTGCCCATCCAGCAGTAGAGACTGTTGTTTTTCATATTACTTCTTTGTTAGTAAGGAAACATGCTTCAAGATCAGGGGTGTCAAACTCAAAGCCCATGGTGTGCTTAGATCTGGCCCACAGGCCACCCTAGAAACAGTGAAGGACCGGCCTGTAGTACCTCTGCCAGTGAAAACAGAGCTCAGGAGGCCGCACACGGACCTCCCGAGCTCTATTTTTGCGGGCAGAGGGTTGCAAGAGGCAGCCAAAAACAGAGCTTGGGAGCCTGTTTTTGCAGGCAGAGCACTCGGGCCACCACAGGCACCCCTGACATGAGTGACGTCAAGCTGGCCATGGCCTTCCTGGTTACATCCACCCTGCCCTGTCAAACACAACCCTGATGTAGCCCTCAATGAAATCGAGTTCAACACCCTTGCTCTAGATTCAGGTTGAGGATGGAGTGCCCCATAGCTTGAAGACCATCCACATCTCTTTTAGTCTCAGAATCAACTTTTTGTGCAATATGGGCAGGACTTTCATTTTGTCTTTCATTCCACTTAAGATCTCATCTAGAAACCCTACAAGCAGCTTGGTCCCTTTGATGGTGTCTGATACTGGCAGCTATCATATGACATTTTTGCCTGAGAATTAGGCATTATTCAGATTGCATCCACCATGAAGGTAGCAGACAATAGGGATTGGGCATCGCTGGCTTTGAACCCCATTGCTCTCCAGATTGTGGCAAGCAAATGCAGTTTTTTCTGTCATAGTGCAATTATTATGGAACAAGCTCTTATTGGAACTAAGGCAGGCACCAACCTTTTTACTCTCAGTGAGGTGAGGTCTTCGCTTCTCTACAAATACGTATATATAGAAGGAGGACAGTGTGTGCCACCCAGATCCTTTTGGGAGTGGGGGGAAGGCAGGAAGACAAGTATTTATAAGTTTGTACATAGCTGATTATGGAGTTGAAATGCCAGATATTCTGTCTGAAGGGCACAAGATAAGGACAACTATCAATAAAAGAACACAGCTATAATTTAAGCAAACCAGAATTTGTTTTTTATGTGTTTATTTTATACTTACTGGGAATAGTCTGGCCCCATTGTTTGTTTGTTCTAATTTGGGGGAAGGTTAGTAAGAAGCTATAGCTCAAGTCACTCACTGTACCCTTTGACCTTATCCCAGAATGGAAAAAATGACCCCAATTTTTGGAGGAGTTGGGGTTTTTAAAATGAGAGATGGGAGGCCTTATATCTCTGCATTACTATGGTACTGAGTTTGTCTATTAACTTCCCTAAATATCAAAATTTAAAAGTCATTCCAAACCTACCTAGGGGAGCTGCACATGGGGGCTTGCAGCTGTATGCAGACTGGGGATTGCCCTCTCCAGCACTAGAGTGATATTTTTCTCGCATCTGATATTCTCATTTGTAAATGGCTATGTTATATAGAGCAGGAGTCTCCAACCTTGGCAACTTTAAGCCTGGTGGACCTTCAGCTCCCAGAGTTCCTCAGCCAGCTGCTGGCTGAGGAACTCTGGGAGTTGAAGTCCACAAGGCTTAAAGTTGCCAAGGTTGGAAACCCCTGATATAGAGGGTCTTTCCCCATTGATGAGCTGAAGTGCCTATTCAGCCATACGTGAGGTGGCAAAAAATGCCAGATTGAATTTTGATGTTCCCCGTTATCAAACTCTAACCTGCCTATATTCTCAATCATTTCTGTCACTTGACTTTCCTCCAAAGTTACTGGTGACAAATCCTTATCTTGGATAGTGTTGAAATGGGGGAGGAGGAATACTACTTTAAATCTGGTAGGGATAGGAATTATTTAAGCATTCTCATTCATGGTTTGAAATAAGATGAATGTAGCATCATGGGAGGGAACATGGCTGGAAAACAGTGTTGCCAAATATATTTATGCTGTGATTGGGAAGAAATGGAGTCAGGCTATGATTCTCTTTAAGATATCAGAAATCTCTCTGGTTTTCTCGCAGGAGACAAATGCAGCAGCCCATCCAAAAATATAGTTATCCTATATTTGGATTGGTTAGATCACATTAACAAATAATGACTAAGGAGACAAATTATTCATTACCTCTATACAACTGGCACAAAGGTCAAGAAGCCAAAAGCAATGAACAGATCAGTAGCATTTCTAGGCAGTACACAAATAAATACAATCTTAAGGCAGGCTGGGCAGGGCCTGTTTGAAATGATGATCCGACAGCATTACATTAAGCAACTACTATGAGAAATAATTTTTCTGGTAGGAGAAAACCTCTCTTGATGCTTTGCTAAACCCAAAATCAAATGGTATCAAGATGTGCTAATGAATACAAACTCCAACAGCACTCTTCATCTTAAACAATGGTGATTATAAAGCTGTAATTTGTAATTGCTCCTTGGCAATGAACACTGTTTTGCCAAAGAGATCCCACTCAGTAGAATACCCACACCCACACCAACCAATATTAGCCAGAAGCAAAGATAGCAGGAGTAAGGTACCAACATCATCATTATACCCGTTCTCCCTTTCATTTCCTTTTCACCAAGTGGCTGGGAAATTATAGATAGTGCTGGTTTCCTTGACAGTGAACAATAGAACAATTCAGAGGTATAATGCTCAACACAATACATTCTGTTACTATAGGAACCAGGCATTTCAAGTGGTGGGGAGATCCAAGAGGGAAGGCAGAGTTATACATTAAGACCTTGCCAATAGCCAACACTGAAATGCACCATATGTTTTGCTGATTTCCATCATTGACCGACAGGATGAGAAGCAAATAACTGGAAGTGGTTGTGTGAATGTGACTTAAAGGATGTGACCATTCACAATTTCACCATATTTCTTTGTTACAAGAGAACATTTGGAAGAGAGATGCACACAAAGATTGAGGCTACATATTTATGGCTATGTGGAGGCCTCCGGGAAGGAATATCTGATCTATAGTTACCAAGCTGTGAGCCAAAAGTCAAGTCCCAGACCTGGATTTCATATACTTACAATAACAGCACAAAGAACCATTATCAATATTTGCAGCCCTTTATTGTGATACATTTGATACAGTTTCCCTAGTAATTCAGACCAATTCTCAGGTCAACAGAATCTACTTTGCTTCTTCTGCATGTGATCTATTTCCACTATTGAGAAACTCTCTCTCTATATAAGTGTGTTGGTGTAAGAGACTGCAACTGGTGAAAGAATTAGGGAACACCTTAAACATGTTTGTATGAAACAAATGTTTGGGACATAAAAGAAATCTGTGAGTGGAAAAAACTCATAAAACTTCAAGCTTTCTTTTTATATTTCAGAATCAAGCCGAGAAATCAATTTAGAAACTTATTCAATATCAATGTTCACATCCCTCACTTCCTTTCAGCAAATACCCAATTTCTTGGTTAATGTAATAGTTTTTAAGGGTAGTTATAGCTACATAATGTTCCCACTTGAAATTTATTTAGCACTTGACTTCAAAAAGCATATATATAATGGTACCACAACCTGGGGCAGAGCTATCAGGCTAATAGCTAGTTGTTAATATTGTATCTCTGGTGTTAATTTATAAAGTGAATTGCAAGATTGGATATTTTGAGTAAAGAAATGGGAGAGGTGTGGAGATGTTAACCCTGCCTTTGCCTCCTGTTTCTCAAATTCAATTCATTCCCAGGAAACATTCTCCATAATAATTTTGCTAATATCCTTTCTTGTTACTTAAACTTGACATGCATACATTTGCCTTAACTCTTCAGCTTATAGTATTAATGTAAAAAGTTATGTTAGCTCATATGATACAAAATCCCACCAAATCTTACCCACATGGCACTAATGGGATTCTGATGTATACATATTCAGCAAGATTATAAGTGTGCAAAATTGCAGCCTATATGTCACATACAATCTACCATGGCCACTTTTGCAAATCTGGCCAATGAACAGAGCTAAACAATTAAAATTGTTCGCTTCATTTTAGGGGTTGGGAGAGTGCTTAGGGAGTGAGGTTTCCTTAACCATAATCCTTGCAATAGTTTGTTTGTTAAACGAACAATCATTTGTTTAAAAAAAACCATAAATCTTTTAAATGTTGCACCAACTGGAGTTTAGCCCTCAACATGCCATAAAAAGACCATTATGGCCTTCACAGCTTCAGAAATTGCATGTCTCTGATATAAACCATCATGGACGCACTTCAAATGTTCCTATATTTTTAAGAGTGATCCTTCACAGTTTTAGGAAGTTATTCAACTTTTGAAAAGGCAGAGGGTACTATGTTTAAGCGGAAAATCCTCTTCCACTATGCAGATTTTCTAAGTGTAATGAATTTATTTCTATTTAAAATGTGTTTTTTTCCTATCTAAACTGAAAAGGATATAGTCCAAGGAAGATTGCACAATTATTTTTGCATTACTTGATACTATGCCTTTCCTTGAGAATAAATGCCAGTGATTTCATATCTATGAAAGCTACACTGAAGTCTGCGGTAAAAATCCAAAACACATTTCTTTAAGTTTGACATTTGGTTTAGGGAATGATTGCCCTGTGAGTAAGGATCATCCTTTAATACCAATAGGACAGGAAACCCCTGTGCCTCCAAGTCCACAGTAACCATTAGGGTGCTTGCTTAGGTACTGCTGATGATATTCTTCAGCATAATAGAACTCTGGAGCCTCGCGGATTTCAGTTGTGATGATCCCAAAACTATTCTCTGTCAATGCCTGCCAAAGACAAGAGAAAGAAAGAGAAGCAAAGAATCTTATTAGGAATCATTTACAAGAAGTCATATGAATAATTAATAACAGAACTTTGAACCTGATAAGAAAGAGAAAATATTTAACAGTTTAACAGAGAACATGCTTGGCTCTAAATCTAGGGTTAATGTGAACTTGAGCAAGTATAGCATGGTGGGTAGACAATTAATTTAGGAGTGGGCAACCCAAATTCAAATCCATACTCTTTAGAAGCTCCCTGGATGACATTGGTCTACTCTCTGTAGAAGGGGAGACATACCACTTTATAGTAGTCAAAAATCAGGGGTTAGTTAATCTGAATAGATTCCTTCAGACTATAAATCTAGTCAATATTCTTGAGCCCAAACTTCTGCAGGTGACTAGATACAATTGTAGAAATATGAATATTGGATATTTATCTATAACTCTTTGGACAAACGATCTAAAGACAACAGGAAAAATGATTCTGTGATAGTTTTAGTTTACTATAGGAGAATTACAGGCCTTGCAGAGGTCTTGCAAAGAAACAAGATAAAAACAGGTGAGTATTCATTTTAGTGCTTTCCTATTACTAATAATAAAAAAATCACCCTCAATAAAGTATTTTCCTATATATTTTGGTTGAATGAAAGCTAAAGCATTCATCGCTGTAACTTTAGTTTAAATGGGGATATTTTAATAAATGAAATGGGACAATAATCCTTGGAATGAGCTCTCTTATTACCAATACTTACTTTTCTACATAATTGCTACCATTCACTGCATATACTGTTCAATACCACAGACAATACCTCAACCCTTCAAAAAGATCTTGACTATGTATCACAATGGTCAAACAAATGGCAACTTCAAATCTCAACAAATAAATGCTCTGTCTTACATATTGGCAAAAAAAAATCAGAAAATAAAATACAGGCTGAATAGTCAAGACCTTGTTGATGATCCAAGCTCTGTAAAGGACCTTGGAATACTCATCTCTAATGATCTAAGTGCTAGAGCCCACTGTAACTACATAGCCAAAAAGGCATTAAGAGTTGTTAACCTAATCCTACGTAGCTTTTTCTCTGGTAATATCACACTACTAACTAGAGCATACAAAACATTTACTAGACCAATACTTGAATATAGCTCATCAGTCTGGAACCCACATTACGTATCTGATATTAGCACAGTTGAGAAAGTCCAGAAATATTTCACAAGAAGAGTTCTCTACTGCTCTACTCATTGTAGAATAACTTATGCCACCAGACTTGAAATTCTAGACCTAGAAAACCTTGAATTACGCCATCTTCGGTCTGATCTAAGTATGGTAAATAAAATCATACATTACAATGACTTACCTGTCAATGAATGCTTCAGCTTCAACCATAAAAACACAAGAGCACACAATAGATACAAACTCAAGGTTAACCGCACCAAACTTGATTGCGGGAAATATGACTTCAACAACAGAGTGGTCAATGTCTGGAATACTCTACCTGACTCTGTGGTTTCTTCCCCAAACCCCAAAAACTTTAACCTTAGACTGTCTACTATTGACCTCACCCCTTTCCTAAGAGGTCTGCAGGGGGCGTGCATAAGCGCACCAACGTGCCTACCGTCCCTGTCCTATTGTTTCTTTTATTTTTCTTATATGTACCCATTTCATGTATTCATAACTATGTATATACTTATACCTATTATCTTGTAAGCGATTGACAAATCAAAATAAATAAATAAAATAAATAAATAAATACATTTTTACAATGGACAATTAAAGCAATCTGAAAGAATTCAGCATTTTGTTTCTTCAGTCAGATCCTGACAGTCATTTCCACCTTTTCATTTGCAAGAAACAAATACCCATGGAGGTATTCCTTTAATTTGGGGAAAAGATAGAAATTTCTCACAGCAAGTCCCCCTGAACTGAAGTGAGAGAACATGCAGTAAAGAAAATGTCAGAGTATTAATGCATTAATACTGTTGTCAATATGCAACATTAAAGGGATTACTTTTCATTAGACCCTTTATGCCACTTTACAAAAACAAGAGATGGGGTGATAAGCACCCAAAGTTTTGAGATAATTAGAAAATTGGATGAATTCTGGATATGTGCAGTATATTTGTTCAACTATTTACAAAGTCTGCACTACTATTACTTTTAATCTTCTCATCACTTCTTATCACCCATCCCCTCCCACTTGTGATTGTAGGACTGTAACTTCGTCATTTGTATCCTTATGATTTATATTGACTGTTTCCTAGTATGATTTGATTGCTTATTTTACCCTATGACTATCATTGAGTGTTGTACCTTATGATTCTTGACTCTTGACGAATTTATCTTTTCTTTTATGTATACTGAGAGCATTTGCACCAAGACAAATTCCTTGTGTGTCCAGTCACACTTGGCCAATAAAGAATTCTATCTATATCTATCTATCTATTTGCTTACTCAAGAAGGAACAGAAAGAGATTCTGCTTGATCATGGGGTTGGACTAGAAGTCCTCCAAAGTTCCTTCCAACCATGTTATTTTGTAAATTCTGTAATAATCTGATAACAACTTTTACTATTAAGATGCACAAATATTAGGGAAACTTTTCCCAGCTGGGCATCCTTGAGGCATATAAACTTCAACTTTCATATTCTCAGAACTGCCTACATTGGCAGCCTAGCTTTAATTTTGATACCAATTAAATGAGTTTGTGCTTTTGATGCCAGTTTTCAGTGGATTGGGGAGATAAAAGTAGAATTTGTTTAAAGCTGGGTTGCACTCAAGCTTTTGAGTAATATCTAGAATAATATGATATGGTTTTGGAAAGTTCAAAGTCTCTTCTCCTAGGGACCCATCATTTAAGATTGGAGATGCAATTTGGTCCATCGTCCAGATCCAGCTGGCAGAAAAGATTCTGTCATCTTATAATTTTCCTAACAGATAAAAGTCCACAAGTCCCCATGCTACAGGATCAATTTTCAATCTTAGTTTACAAATATGTTCTTGGCATCGAATAAAATTAGGAATTTTATTCGATGCCAAGAACATATCAAAGCTAGCTGATTTCCATGCTCTTCTTCATTGTAATCTGCTAGCAAAATAATTACTAAAATATCTGTATTGGATTATGGTTTGCATGAGCCATTCAGAACTTCAAACAATTCTTTTATGTACAAAATTAAAGTTCACATTATGTAACTTTTCAGTTATCAAAAATTAAGAAGAATCTATAGCACTTGAAGCAGAAATAGTGCCTTTAAACATCTAGGGTTCGTATTAAACTTGATGACAGAGAATTTATTTTAAAAGAAAATTTAAAAGAAAAATAGCATGTTGAAAAATTTGCCATGGATAAGGTATATGGTTCTTAAATTAATTTAGCTACAAGGTAGCCATGGGGTACATGTGAGTGTCTAATCCTCTATTGTACAATAATTTTTCCAACAGTGTAGTGTGTAGTTTCACTGGCACTCCACACTTCAGTTAAATTCCCCGCCACTAAAAAGGGCAAAATCTTGAAATAATTCCTTCTATTGGAGCTTTTCAGCATTCCCTCAATCACTTCTATAGGTCATCTTCTCCTTGAAAAACTGTTGAAGAGTTCCTCTTTCACCTACAGTCTGCATGCCCTCCCAACCTGTCCAAGAATTAAGTTTCTGTTCTCCAAAGCTCAACCAGGTGGACCTGTTCTGCTGTGGCTTTACCAAATAGGGGTGGGAGTGCCTCTGCCTGTCTGAGCAGCATCACTGAGCTACTTGGGTCATTGGTCTTACTATCGTGAAGCAGCTTTCTGTGTTCTTCACTGAAATATGAGTTTGTGTGTGTATATATTGCTAGATTGCTAGATATACAATGGTGTTTTTTTTAAAAAAAAAATTGTGCAGAGAGAATGTGCCTCAGTGAATGTTTAAGGGCCATGTTTCCAGAATTCTGCTATTTTACAATTTTAAACCCTTCATCTGAACCTAATTTATCCTTCAGTGCTTACAGATACTGCTTCTTTGGCAGAAATGTTTTTTTTTTTTTTTTTGGTGGCATGATCTCCTCATGAGGGCTGTTAGATCATCTCTTGGGCTTTTGTTTTCCTCACTAAACAGGGCCAGCCCTTTGAGACGTTCTTTGCACTTTTTCAAGCAGCTTCATATCCACCTCAGATGCACTCCTTAGTATATTGGAGGAAATGAACAAAACCAGTGGAACAGGGAGAGACAGGGAGAGAGAGATGTGAAGAATGCACTGTGCCTTTCCAAGAGAACTTGGCATCAGTAGCCTCTCTCATCCATGCTAGCTATGGAACAGCAATGACTTGGCAAGAGTCGAAGAAGCAGATGTCAGCCTCATCTGGTTGCCTCGACTCCAGTTGTTTGTTTAAAATGAACAGCAAAACCAAGCTGGCATGGGGGTCTTGGTGCCCAGGGAGAAAGGAAATGCACCAACCCCTTCTGGTCAGTTCTTTTTCCTCTGGATTGAATGAATGTGACGTAGCCATGGAGAAAAAAAAACCAGGAATCTAATTTTAAACAAAGAAGGTTAAGGTACACTTGAATGCAAGCTTCTCAGAAGGTATCGGCACAAGCCAATTTGTGATGGTATGTGGAAATGACCTTGGGAAAGAAAGAAAAAAAGGCCTACAGCCAGGAAAACAAAGGGAAGTCAGTCCACAGATGAGGGAAAAGCATGGGAAACATTTCAGAAGGGATCCTGCCTAGTTTCATAGAAGCTAAAAAGAGAGGATGGGAGAAATATTTTCAGTCTGGCAAGATTCTGTTTAATGGTTCCTTATAATAAAGTTAGTGCTGATGCTCCTTGTCTGGACGAGCACAATTTGACTTACCTCAGAAAAGGTAAGCAAAGTTATATCTGGTTAATAGTTTAATGGAGGACCATTCCAGAAAATCCCAATGATATAAATTAAAGTGGAGGATTGGAAAAAAAAATCCCTCCCAAAGGCAAAAGAAGCCACTTTTCTACTGTTGACAAGAAACTGCATGGGAATGCCAAAGAATGGAGTT